GTGTGATTCATTCTATGAAAACAGTTTTAAAAGTTACCAGCCTTCACTATTGGCTGAAGTGAAAGATATGCAACAGCTATAGATTTAAAATATCACTACTTCATCCTAAAAAGCTCAAAGAAACACCAGTGTTAGTGAAGTTGGTCAGTAAGGAGCTCCTAATTTCAGTGCCAACCAACCACTTCACTTGCAGCTGTCTACTTTGCACTCCCAACACTCCCTCATAATCTTCCACATTCCCAAAACCATGGGACCCTTTGTAGGGTTTCTTTGTCTCTGGTCAAAAATGAAGAATTCATCTCCTACTTGAAGCAGAAGCCAGGTGCCTCAGAAGCTGACTGTAAATTCCACAGATCAGCTACACTCTTCAAAAAACATCAGCAGGATTTGAGCCCCTCTTGCTATCTCTCTCACTTAATTCAGAATTGGGAGGCTGTCGAAAACAAAGCAAAAATAAGCTTCTAAAAACTAGGAAGCACAGCACAGGGATGCTATCCTCGTGTTAAGCAAGAAGGACAGGGGGCACAGACAAGACTATATTTTCAACATACATATTGAACTGTTAAGCAAGAGAAAACATTTTTCAGATAATACCTTCTAGAATTCTAATGGCACAGAATGCTGGTAAGCAAGCGTTTAACAGGAGTATCAGCCTTCTCTCTGCACTGGAAGAACCTGCTGCTTTTCACCCAAGACTCAGAAGAACTCGCATAGTACTAGCACCTCAGCAAAAAATTTCTGAACTAGGATTTCAGGAAGTTGGTCTTAAAACCTTACTTCAGCCAGTAATCTGCCAGATTTTCATCAACATTCAACATCACTTTGCTTTTGCGCTGTAGTTTTCTCCAATAGCAGTGACAAAATTTATCTCCTCTGCAGAAACTCAGGACCTCCCATTAAAGCTAAGAGTCAAGTGTTCAGTACTGTTCTATACACAGTATCAAAAGCAACTTTAATGTAATAACTGTAATATAACTACTACTATTAATGCCAACAAAAGTTTTCTGTTTAAGAAGAAAGTTAGTTATCAATCAGGAAGCTGTCTGATGTTATATGAAACCCTTCTACATTACTGAGATGAGTACACAAACATCTGGAAAGAGAAAATAGAGGTATACTGTTATAGATGCATCTTTTAGCTGCCCCCTTCCTCCCAACTACAAATAGCCTACAAAAGCTATACTCACTACGCAAAGCTAAAATGAATGAAAGCTAGAGATGCTGAGACTGGTGGGGGGCACCTATCTCCTCTTCATCCTCCTGCACATACTGGAAGAAAAAAAGATCCACCTGTACATTGAGTGATCTCACACACCTCAGTTCAGCATCACATTGCGCAGATTGTGTCGGCAGTAGAACAGGGAAACAGCCAGCAAGGAGATGAGACACAGCAGTGCTCTGTGGGTTCAACAACAGGTAAGCGACAGCATGGTGCAAAGATGGAATCTTCTGGGGAAGCGTGAATGGGGTACGATGTGCAACAGGTGAGGATGACAGCAGTACCTGGGGAGTACTCCACATAGGCAGGCCATGTCCATTACTACTCATCCTTCATATAAGATAAGGTTGTCACATTACCCAAATGTTGGCGTGGAAGCAGAATTCAACATGTGATACGGATGGACCCAGTTACAGCTCAGGAAGGACATAGTTTTGCATTAGTTTTCCGATATGTGTGCTCAAGAGGAACATAAGACATCACACAAAGGAGTCTAAACTCAATGCTTCCCTTCCCTCAATTTTTTTTTTTTTAAATTTAAATACAGGAGCTATAACAGCCCAAGTTAACATTACCCCAAACCCACTCCAACTAACTCTATTATTAGTTGTACATTAATAAGCATTTTACAAAAGCAACCATACATTGGTAAGTTTTATTTAAAAGATGCAAGAAAAAAGCATGAAGCGTATCTATTCTCTTTTCAAGTCAGAAAAACCACACAGTTCATCACGCCAAAATAGTGGAATACTGAAACTAGTGATTTGTGTTTCCCTACTTCGGATTTCAATACTCTGTATTGTCTACTAAAATAACTTCTTAAATAATGAAGACAGACTATGAACATGCCAGTTGGCTATTTACTACCTGGCAAGGTTTGGTTTGTTAAAGGCTTGGATTTTAGCTACCACTAGATACACAGGATTTATCTGAACAGAACAATCCATTCTAATCAGGAGGAAACTGCTCTACTAGAAGACGACATATAAAAATGGATGCTTATGCTGTGTTTCTTCACTGACTGCTTCTTGAGCTCCATTTGTGTCAAAACTGCAAGGGAGAGCATAAAGATGGGACCTTAAATTCTACCGAATTCATTACGTATTTTAGAAAAGTGAACTCACGTGCCAACATTTAGTTTCAGGATACACACGGATTATGCGATTAGAAGCCTGCTGGCTTGCTGGGAGGATTCAGCAAGATAACTCCAAATTACTTAGAGCGCTAGTGTCAAAAGGACCTCTGTACTTATTTAGCCTCTGCTCTAGATTACTGACCCACTTATGAAGAGCTAAGCACCCCCGCTGTGCAATGCCAACACCCACTCCATCTGTTTGCTTCTGCTTTCTCGGAACCCCTATTAGTCTGTGTAAGAAGTTGTGTTAATTACCACATGAGCAGCTTTTGCATCGTCCACGCAGTATCAAGCCTCACTTGATACGTAGTCACCTTGACAAACGGCGCAGAAAGAGAATCCTAATCGCAGCAATGACAAAGTACACGCAGATTTCCAAAGAGCCAATTTAATTCAACTTTTATCCAAGCTGCTCTGAGTTCTGCAAAATGCTTGTAGGTGTTTTGTTGGTTTAAGTTTCAATGATGGAAAAGTGTACTAGAGTTAAGCACTGTATCAAGCTCTCTGTAAATCTCCAAGGGGATGAGAAACTTGTAAAACCACAAGTGAAACTTCTGTTGAGGGAATAATGCAACAGTAACAAACATAAGTATCCCACAACACTTGTCAATATTTACATTGAGTTAAACAGTATCAGTAATTAAATCTAAAGCTAGTTTAAAAAAACAACACAGCCAAACACAAAAACCCTTTCCAAGTAGAAGAACGTTTGGAAAGTCAGCCCAGCTGTCACTTCAGAACTGCATCTCAGCAGCTTAGCACCTCAACCTTCCCGCCGACTAGGAAGAAAAAAAAAAGTTTCAAATTCAGCATTTAATTATTTATCCCTGCTGATCTGCAGAACTTTAAGACATTCATTAAAGTGGGTCTCAAGCAGCAGTTTCATTAACTTACTAAATCCAAGAACAAGACTCTGCAGAAGTCATTACAGTACTGAGTTGACATTTGTTCTTTCTTGGGAACCCAGACTACTGCTGTCAAAGTGAAATAATACCAATAGACCAACAGCCAACACTGAAACTCCAGAATTCTGTATAGCGCTGCCGGCAACCCTGATATCCTCTCACCCCTAAGACCAAAGCCATTTCTTAGTTAAAAATTAAACCTTGTATAATGGCCAACACCACCAGAAGAGCTCTCTAGCTACCAGCTCACTCCTAAGGCAGTCAAGAAAAGGAAAACTTAGGTCCAGTTCTTTTAAGAGATGACTAGAGAAAAGATGAGAACATTCTAGCCCTGCAAGAATTGCTGGTCACAGCATGGAGGCTAGACAGAGTGTAACAGTGCTTCATATTCTAAAGAATTATCTACTATGACTACTTTAACACAAAAGGTCATGCAAGCAGGAGGAGATACTCAAATACAAGACAACAAGTAGAAGGAAGAAAGGAAAGGGAAACCCAGAACAAAAGGAAGAAAGCAGAAGGGAAGCCCAGAGAATTTTGAGGCTGTACTAGGGAAGAAAATACAAGCAGAGGGCAGCATCAGAAATAAAAGGTGAACAGAAAAGAGAGAGAAGAGAATTAAAGTAGTCATTCATTCACAGCACACTCGTGATTTTCCCAGAAAGCTGTGTCAAATCTAAAAGAGAATGCTAAAACCATTGTCAGGTAACAGCTATAACACATTTGATATACGGAAATCATTACTGACACCAGTCAAATCTCATTTGCTCTACGATTAATACAAAGTTTAAAGGTAGCTGGGATGAATGTGCTAGTACAGAAATTAAGGTCATAAACCAGATGCAGTTTCTCTCCCTTAGAAATTATTCTAAGTGTTGAGGGGCTAAATGCCCAGAACATTCCTGTGTTCCAAGATCCTCTAACTTTTTCCTAGAAAAACACACCTGTGAAGTGATTTGATACTTATGTCGCACATAAAGAGCTTATACGGGCACCTCAGCGGGACTTCTGTACCACATGAATCGAGAGCAGACTGCGTTATACTTACAAACATAACCCTTGCCTCTCGCACAGCAGTTGCTATGAATTAAGTTGAGAAAGTCAAAGGGATAGAATGCAAGTTGTTCACCTAAATATATACACATATCAGGAGCAGAAGAGCAGTTCTAGAAATACTCCAAGTTATTAAATAAAAAGCACTTTCATTAACCAGTAACAAATAATAATTACAGTAAATAAACCAGTCTTCAGACAACCTGCCTCCAAAGATAAAATTTCCCTTCAAAAGGGACAATGGATGCAGCTTGTATCGTTGAAATGAAAATACCAGATACAACTGAAAATAATTAAATGACTGAAGTGTTGACCAAGGAAAAACGAGTCTTTTGCTTGTTTGTTTTAAAGTGGAAGTGTAGGTTCAAGTATGCCCCTCCAATTACAGACAGGGTTATTAAATAAAAGCATAAGGCAGTGCTACAAACTAAGCGCTGAATAACCAGAACACATACAAATTGGAATCTATGTAGTAATGAAAACGGGAATGTAAAGATATTATTAGAAATTGTGACTTTACAAAAGCATGTGATTCAGTTGTAAGCAAGCATTATACAAAACCAGAACAGATTTTAAAGAACCAAAAGCATGCAACTGATTTTTTAGTCATTTGTTCACAAGATAGCCTAAACACCCATTTAGTAACTTCTTAAGTGGTTGTAACAACTTCAAACACAACAGCACTTACCTTGGTATAGTCACACATTTGGTATTGCAATTCTGAGTGGTAATTGCCTTCTCAAGCTCATCCAGCTGTCCTGTCTTCTTTAGCTTCTTGACCAAGCTTTTCACTGCTTTTTCACACCACTTCTCCTCCTGACCATTCTGCTCACCACCACCAGCCCCTCCAGAGCCACCAGCAGATTTTTTCCACCCCAGAAGTCTCTTCACAACTGGTGGAGTGAATGGCAATATGGCTGACATGACTTTCACCAGACAGAACACTCAGCAAGCAATAAATTAGAGATTCCCGTCTGATCCCTAAAAACACAAACCAAAACGAGACACATTAGCACTGAGGTTTCACATGAAACAAATTATCTTGCTTAGGACCTTTCACCACCAAATGCCATAGGACGCTGCCTCCCAAAACAAGTCAGATAATAGTTCAGAAGTAGTTTTCATCATGGTTAGGTACTTCATCAATAAAATTAAAATGCAAATTTGCTGCAGACTCTGCAACCCTTAGCACAGACTAAGGTTACTGCTGGATTAGACACTGAAATTTTCCTCAAGTCTTTCCTGGTTAAAGTAAACTCCAGAAAATACAGAAGTTAACTTCAGTCTAGCTTTGCACCTAGGCTGTCTGGTTTTAGCAATTTATTCAAATTTTCCACAAGTGATTGACAAACTGTATACACATATATGCATGTTCTGCCCATTTCCAAATTAGTTTAGCAAGCAAAATTCTGTTTGGAAGGTAATTTAGTAATTATGGCTTGACAGAAGTCTTCCAACAGCCAGCTATTTCATAAGCCTTTTCTCATTTTGTTTGTTGTGTTTTAAATAACTACCAATTTTTGTTCCACTGGGGACACCGACTTGAAATTCGCCCACAGATTTGGTAATAAGCTTATTCCCACCTTTTGGTCTAGAGTTCAACAGCCTATAGATAATGAATCTTCTCAACTGGCAGTACTTAAAATCATCAAGTCTTTCAAAATTTATTAAAGGATATTTAAAATCTTCAATTATAGGCACCTGAGTAGTAGAACTGTCTGGTTTTAATTTTGATAGCCTTTCATTCAGTGTAAACTACCTGATCAGGAAGTTTATATAAAATGAAGTATTAGAAGGGATGCTGAAACTTGGGCTATGTTTAGCATTCACTGCAATTTGCACTTCAAATAACTTAAAAGTGAAATTATACCCATTTAGAAGCTGCAAAACTAACATTTTTTCTAGTAGGCTAGTTTTAGGTATTAAAATATAAGCCCCAAATCAATCATATTATTTCAGGCAGGCATCTGTTAGAAATTGCTTAAGGACATAATGGTCCCATGGATAGAAGTAAGGCATTGAAGTAAAAACCAACCTTATTTCCAGGCTGTAAATAGGTATTTGAACTCCAGAAAGTTACCTTATTTCCAAGCTGCATAATCAACTGAAAATACTTTGTTTTAGCAAAGAGCTAACACTACCTTCAGGCTACTCAATTTGTGCTTTCAAGGCAGCTTGCATGCCTCTCCATCCCGTACAGGCGCACTTCTCGCTTCTATCCAAAAAATACCAACTTAATCTTAGTGAAATTTCCCATCTGCAACAAGCATGGTTGATTTGGGATACTTCAGGCTACAGTATTCATGGCTAATTTATGCCTTGTCATGTCTTTGCGGTTTCAGTGAGAACCAACGAGTCAAACACTAAATTATATTCTACAGGTAACTTTAAATCATAACTTCTCAACTTCCACATAGCAGAACATTCAGTAGGAATGACATTTCAGTTTCAACTAAATCATGCCTCCATAAACCAGCTTCTGAGAGCACCTAAAAACATGACTGAAGCAAGAATTGTAGTTTTCTGGGGTCAAGGAGACAGAGGTTCCAATTAACAGGGACTCAAGATTAACATTAGCAACCTTAAGCAAGCCATTCAAAATAATCTCCACTACATCAGAGAATCATAGAACGGTTTGGGCTGGAAGGGAATTTGAAAAATCATCTAATCCACACCCCCTGCCATGCGGAGGGACATCTTCCAGCATTTCACGACCCTTATCGTAAAGAATTTCTTCCTTCAATCCAATCTAAATCTACTCTTTCAGTTTAAAACCGCTGCTTCTTGTCTTGCCAGTAGAGGCCTTGGTAAAAACTCAAAGCATTCATTTTCACACAAGAGTTTAATATGAAAATAACGTTTATTCTTTCAACAATGTTAAACAATTACAAAATTGTCCCAAATTTTTCAGACTGCAGATTTTAGACTGCAAAAGCACTGAAGCCCTGGCTGCAGCAAACACAAGAAAAAATAACCTCAATATCCAACATTTTCCAGTTAAACACTGACCAGGACACTTACGGTACAGTTTCATAGGGATCCAAACCAGTGCAACAGCTTCCTGTCACAGGAAGCCCAGGTCTCCTTCCTTTCTTTCCTGTGGCAACATCACCACCCCAACACCAGTGCCGACACAAAGGCTCAGACAGATAACCAAGTAAGAGCTAATCATGTTTTGGGTAGGTTTTTGGTTTTTTTTTTTTTTTTGCTGAATTAGCTCTCTTTCAGCTTAACAAGTTCAAAAAAGACCAAACCAAAGAGGATACACTCTTCTGCTGCAAAGATCCCATTTTAACACTAGCAGCTGATGGTGTAATATCTGAAGATTAAATTCAGCACTGACAGATGTAGGCAACCAACTACCAGTATTATTGCTTATCCACACATCAATTCTCCCATTTATGGAGCTCACTGACACATAATATACGTATTTCCTGGTTTTCAGCTTCAAATTTGACACCTTTCAATGCCCCAGAATACTCCTTTGATTGTCAGCCTTATAAAACACACACTTAACTGGGGTCTCACTTACCACCAAGGTAAACTGTTCATTCTTCCGGGCCCCTCTAAACATCCTCAATGCTTTTATCTATTTTTTCAGCTTTACAATACCCCTTGTGAAGAGATGTCCAATTTTGCAGTCTTCTCTCCCTTAAGACATAACACTGATCTATATATAATTTTCTGTATTCTCTAGTGCTTTATTTTTTAAACTAAGATTTGCCTTTCTGCTTCTAATGCACACCGAGTGATTTAAGTCTTGCAGCAGGAAAGAATTTAGGAACCCCATACATTTCAGTTTTTCTTTATATTTGAACTCTGACACTATTTTGACATACTCTAGAAGAAAAAAAAAAAAATCTTTATTTCCCCATTTCCAAAAGACTATTATCTCAGATCTAACTAATCAGAAATTTCCAGACATTATACTTAGTTTTAGTCAGTTCCCTTAAGAGATGTTTGCTCATCCAGTTTCTGTAGAAGCACAGGTTGATGTGCTACTCCTGTGAAAATTAGCTTTTTTTTTAAAAAAAAAAGTGCTTAAAGATCCCTTTATTATAATGATTATTGCAGCTTAACAGCTATTAAAACAAACAAACAAACAAACAAAAAAACATACAGCATGGACCACAGCTGCAGACTAAGAGTCTGGGAGGCTTAAACTAACTCCTTCCTTCTAGCCATTGTTTTGCCATGTCAGGGATTTGCCAGGAGTATCAATAAGAATTTCACTAAGTTATTCCGGTAGTGGCCCCATATCTTTCAGAGGCTGAGCAGAGAGAATGTGACACAAGTAGGGCAGGACTTCATTCAGCTTAATACTTCAGCCGATTGTGATGAGTACTTAAAGGAGAATATTTCAGCTAGTTCGATTTATGCAAAAGTGGCACTCAAAGCCTAGAGGAGGCATCGTCGCACTGAATTCTGAGCAATTTTGATAAATGCAAATTATGCAAGGAAAAAGCAGCAATAAAGGAATTAATAAGAAATACCCTACTGGGTATTTCCTACCCTCCTAATTTTTCAGCATCTTAAACTGTTACGGTAGGAAATTAAAAGCTTCATTCCTACCTATTCCCTTGAGCAGCCATTTATGGACCTGTTGTCCACAAATTAATCTAACCACTTTTTGAACCTGCCTCCACAACATCTTGTGGCAGATAGCACCAGTTTCACTGCTCACTGTCTAAAGAAGTACTTTCAGCTGTTTTAATTTGATCTCTTCCTAGCAATCAGAAAGTGGCCCTTGTTCTACTACTGCAAGCTTTGCTGAAGAACTGTTTGTATTCACCACGTCCACAAGCTTCAAGAATCTGTACATTTGAATCACGTCCCTCCCTCAGAGGACTATCAGCCTTTTGTCAGAAAGAAAGTATCTGAACACAGCTCATACAGTTTGGGAAGCTCCTCTGGACACATTCCAAGCCCGAAAGCTTTACTAGTTGAATTAAATTACAAGTACTTGAAGACATTGCCTAAGGACTCATCTAAAGACCACAGAAAAACTGTATCAGCCCATGGTTACTTTTCACTTTCTTTTTGGTCACATTATCCTAAAGATTTCAACATTGTAATTAAAATTAAAAGTACAGAGACAGAAATCTACATGTCACAAGGAATTTGGAGACAGAAGGTGGACAGCATATGGCAGGACATTGCCCCATCCCTGGAAACATTCATGGACAGGTTGGACAGGGCTCTGAGCAACCTGGTCTAGTTGAAGATGTCCCTGTCCATGGCAGGGGGGTTGGACTAAATGACCTTTGAAGGTCCCTTCCCACCCAAACCACTCTGTGATTCTATGTCTGCTGCTGAACATCTGGCAGCAGCTCAAATAAAAATGGGGAGCCCTACACTTGCATCAGGTTCTACCTGTATCCACCTGGACAGTCTCAGACACCATGTTCATACCATTTGGTTTAAGAAACACTGTTGCTGCTGATTTTTCCATTTCAGTTCATCACCTGTAACTTTTGCCTTCGTACGGGTACAGTAACACAAGGAGTTTTGGTCTTTGTTCCTAAAGAACCATCCTCACATAGACTGTTGCTGTTGTCACTAACCTCTGCTAGGAAACATCCCTCTAGTGCTTCTCCTTGTACACCTTCTTCATCCACAATAAGATATAATATGCTTTTCCCCCACATGCACCCAGAAAACCATCTTTGCCAACACTGCAAGAAACATTTCCACAGTGTTAAAATGGATGGAGATTAAATACACGGTAAATACATAACATCTCTTCTTGAGATACAGTTTTTGCGCTTTCCTTGTAGTCCCCAGCCAACCATCTCCAAAAACCAAGCATTAATTTACAGCCTGTCCTTTTAAAGACCTTAAATGTGTTTTGCCATCGCTTATTCTTTGCACTGTTTCTCCTTTGCTCACTCCCTTCTTCTGAGGCCCAACATCACAGCCCAAAT